TTGATCATAAGAGATGGATACTTCCTGCTGTAGTTGCTTCCACTTGGTCTTGTCAGAATCTTTTTTTGAAGATTTGTACTTCAACTTTGCCTTTTCTAAAGTGTCCAGTAGCTTGAGTGTTTTTGAGCTCACCCAGTTCTTTTGTTTTTTCCTAGATAGTTTGCCCAGGATTTTCTCACTCGTTTCCTTGAGCGCGGTGTCGAGTGCGGCAGTCCTTTCCTGGATCTTTTCTTCTTCACTGTCGCCGGTAACTTCATCGAGGCGTAAGTTGAATCGATTCGTTAGATGTATGTTGAACGAATCGCGTGTTTCAGAACATAGTAGTTTTTCGCTATTGAACTTGCACCTGGTGTTTGCTGATGTTTTTGTTGCCCTAAGTGACAGGCGAAAATTTGCGCTGACAACTATGTGATCGGACCCAATGTCAATGGTGCTGTACGCTCGACAATTTTTCAGGGATTTGAACCATTTCCTGCTGATCATGATGTGGTCCAGTTGATATTTATTCCCTTTTGGGTCTACGTAGGTGTGCAGTCTTGCTGATCTATTTGCAAAGTGTGAGTGCGCTGGTACAAAGTTAGTCGCTTCACACAAGTCGATCAATCTTTGGCCGTTGTCGTTCGTTATGTCGTGATAGCAATGACCGCCAATAGTTCCTGGGATGGTTTCATGACTGTCCTTGCCGATTCGAGCATTGTAGCAGCTAAAGTTTATAACCGGGTACTCTTGAATCGAATTCGCGAACCAATCGACAAAATTCTCAGGAAAAACCAAGCGGGCTTTAGGACCGGCGCAGCTGCAACCAACAAATCCATATCCTGAGAAGAATAATGGATGGAGCGTACATCGACAACAATCCACTATACATAACGTTCATCGATTTCAAGAAGGCACTTGATTCTATCGACAGAGAAATGATGTTTGCAATACTGCGACATTATGGAATCCCGGAAAACATTGTCTTAGCAATTAGGGTCCTCTACTATAATTCAACTAGCCGAGTATATGTCGAAGGTCAACTTTCAGAGCAATTCAAGATTACAACAGGAGTACTGCAAGGTGATGTCTTAGCACCGTTCTTGTTCATAATCGTGATAGACTACGTCTCCAAACTCTCTGCATGCGATTTTGGAGACATCACACACAACGGCGCCAAACAGAAGTCACCTGGCCAACGCACCTTGCGTAGCACAACATCTCAACTTGAACACAAAATCAGCGATCTTGCCTTCGCGGATGACATTGCTCTACTCGAAAACGACGCAACCAGAGCCCAAGAACAAGTGGATGCGTTAAGAATCAATGCTGGAAAAGTTGGCTTAGAAATTAACGTTGACAAGACCGAACAAATGCGCCTCAACCTAGCTAACAACACAGCCACACCACCCACAAACCTCACCATCAATGGCCAAAACATTGGCATCGTTGTGGAATTCAAATACCTGGGTTCTTTCATGGAATCCACTGAAAAAGACGTTAAAGCGAGAATTGCACTTGCATGGGTCGCATTTAGGAAGCTCCAGTCAATACTGAGATCACCCAAACCAACAGTGAAATTCAAGATCCGACTTTTCAATGCCGCATGTGTGTCCATCTTACTATACGGCTGCGAAACTTGGGTTTTACCCTCAGATTTGACAAAAAAGCTGGACGTATTCGCAAGAACCTGCTATCGAATCATGCTGGGTATCAAACAATCAGAAGCTCACATGACCAATGAGGCTCTTTACCAGAAGGTGAATGAACAGTCCATCTCAACAACCATTCGGACGCGTCAACTAAAATTCACCGGACACTGCCTTCGTATGAACACCGACGAACCGGCAAACATCTATATCCTTTATGAGTCGAGCAACACAACCATAAAGACGTCAAGACAACAACGCACGACATACACACATCAAATAACACATCATCTGTTGCCAGACAAAAAGGTCGAATTTACTGCCAACGAAATAGCCACCTATGCGAAAGATAAAAGAGCTTGGAACAATCTTATTGCCGCGCCTCAAAAGCACGACCGATGATGATAATGATGATGAATATATGGATCACTGATTGATTATTGTATCAGAAAAATAAATCCAACTTTTTGGTTGCTACTAAGAATATCTTGTTGTTCATAACCAATTAAGCAATGACTAAATTTACTCTGTTGCTTCTGTTATTGTTTGGTATGTTTCATTCTTCGTTATACAATGTTTTATTCGGCTCTTTTACTTGATATATATTTTGTTTTATAGTTGAGTGTTTTCAACAGAATATTGCCCTTAAAGCAGAACTATTTAAAGGCGATATGGGATCAGCCGGCGCACAAGTAATGGCAAAGTTTCAGCTTGATATCGATCTATCGAAAATTTGGTCCGTAGCTACAATGGTCATGGACACATTAGAAGACCCCTAGAATAGAAGACCCCCCCCCCTTTAATAGAAGACCCCTTGAGTGAGCGAAGCAAAAGACAGATTAGAAGACCCGCTTAATAAAGGTTGACTTTTCTGAGAATTTTTTTTACTTTTTTGCACTTCTTTGAATATGCATCTCTGTAGATGAAGCGCAATAATATTTTTCTTTCTCTGAACGAAACAAAATGTGGTCAAATATAACGGTTTTGAACTGCGTGTTTTATTGCTGAGAGTACCAGGGCTGGAAACGAGTCATATTTTTAGTGGCCCGACCGGCTCGGGAAATTTGGCCCGACCGGCTCGGTATTTACTGTAACGTATCCCGACCGGCCCGTCTGAATTTATTAGGACTGAGTTTATTTATCTGAATTTATTAGGATACGCATGAATCTCTTAGACTTGAAACATTGAGCTCTGCAAAAAAGAAATAGAGCAGAATGATATTTGACAAGGTTTCCATCCATTCGATGTGAGATTTTTCTATTGATTTTTTATCTCTATACACTACTTTGGTTCTTGTTTGAACTTAATCGATATTCATTTTGCTCGCGGTTATATAAGGATTTTATTTCTAATTTTGAAGAATTTGAAGGGGACATTTCTAATGTCAAAACAAGAGTCAGACTAAATAGATAGGCTTTTTTCGGTCAAGATATCTCAGCGAGAATTCTCGATTATACGCGTCTATAATGGTAAATGTCACCAGTCTTTTCATTGGTCTGCAGCATAGACCAATGCGAACTTTATCACAGAACTCTATTTCTGAATGCACGATCAACTAATTTATCGACATATACTTAAACGAAGGACGATTTTTCACAAAAATATGAAATAAGTCGGACCCGGGTCTTCTGATGTGTCCATCCCTTTAGAACATTTTGATAACTTCAACTCATTTTGATAAATCCCACGTCAACATCTTACGTCGTTCATAAGTTATTCGAAAAACAACCGCGCCAATTTAATCAAAAAGTTTTGGAATTCTTATGTTTGGAAGAGCCGATGAACAGTAAAGGTCAAACTTTCAGATGATTATGGCCACTAAGACCACTAGCCGCAATGAAAATATGCTTAATCGGATTTCTTTTGACCGAGAAATCAAATTTGAGAAACAAAACTTGAAAATTCTCCAACTCCGCTCCAAAGCACCATGGGCTCAAACCAACTTGGGGTTTTTCACTGCTCACTGTTCCTTACATGACGAAAATAGTCTGAGTCGAAAAGCGATTTATCACCTCGAAAGGTTCCCCGGTAAGACATACATAGAACAAGAAGTTTTAATTTTTCTCCTATTTGTGTCCCGTCAATAGATAAACGAATTGTTATAGCTCTTCGTATTTTTGTTATTATTGAACCATTTATATGAATTAAACTTTTAATAGCATTTTCCATCGTAATATATGAGCCAAATTCTGTATTCTTCACATGAATATTGTTGTTTAGTCGCCGACGTATATTTCTTATCGACCAGATACTTGGTACAGACGTGTTAATTTGATGCAATTCATTCAACGCGTGATCAGATATATTATGTTGTAATTTTCAATATGCCATAATACGGTCGTTGTCTTCTTTGTTTAGATATGTGTTTGTTGGTGACACTTGCGGGATTACGTTGTGGTTGTCATCCTCAGATGGATTTGATAAATTGGTAGAATGGTCGTCAAGCTGTTCCACTGGCTTTTTCGGGCGTAACGTGTACTGAATTGGGGACTTTGGTGATAAACTAGTCAATTCGATGGCTTGGTGTTTGCTTTCAATATATATATCAATTGAATCTCGTTCAGTAGCTTCTCGTTTTCTTCTTGTTTTGGACTACCCCATATAAATGACGAACTCGGCGATGATTCATTCGAACGATAGGTAATACTTTGTGAAGAGGCTAAAAGTGACGATAAAGGCGTACGGGGAGACTGTCGATAAGTAAAAGTTGTAAGAGATTGATAATTATAATGTGATAATACTTTTACTCGAGAAATACGAACAATAGTACACAAAAACGACGATGATGGCACGGATTTAACAGATGATAAATTAGTGGTTCTTAATTCAAATAATGTTTTAGTAAATATCTCTAATGTAACTTTTTGTTTACGTGCTTTCTTCTTGGCGTTGTTTATCATTGTACAAATAGCAATATCCCAGATTCGGGACAAAAGTCTTTTATCCTGTCCCGCGGGAGTGCCAGTAAAATCCCGAAAAATCTAAGCAAAATTGAAAAATGTTCCGCGAGAGTCCCCGCAGAATCCCGTGACGGGAGTCCCTATAAAATCGTCGCAACGAAAAATTGCAGACAGCTCGGAAACGTCTTAAATTAAATTTTCAACTCTTTTCTGCATTTTGAGATCTCTTGGGACTCTAGAAAATGTAACCTCAAAAAGTTATGATTAAAAAGCCGCTAGCTATATTTCCATTTATTTTTTTGAAAAATGGATCTCGCCGTTTTAATCATAACTTTTGAGGTTACATTTTCTAGAGTCCGAAGAGATCCCAAAATGCAGAAAAGAGTTGAATATTTAAT